CCCGGCCTCGCCCGGGGCCGGACACACGCTCACACGCGGGCGGTGGAAGCACGGCGGCGGGGCCCCAAGCAGCCATCTCCCGGCCGGGACACACGCGCGCGTCTCCTCCCGAGGTATACACGGAGTCAGGCCAAGCGAACTTGTCTGGGGGGGGGGGGCGGGGCACAAGGGGAAGTTCAACGGGGCCGACAGAGATCCAAGCTTAGGAGAGGGTAGGGGGATGGAGCACAAACGGGAGGGGGCCACAGGCCCACAAACACAGGCGCGCCGATCTGCACGCATGAGCAGCACATGTGGCCACCCAGACCCACACACACACACACACACACACACGCACACACATGAAATGCACACACAGGAGCCCAATGGCACACCGCAACAAAGGCCGGCTCAGGAGAGGAGGCAACCAAGGGGGTCGTCCGGCTCCGTGGCAGGCAGTCTCGGCCGGCCCCATGCCAGTCCCCAAAAACACGGCGGGCCGAAATGCCCCAGACTAAAAACAACCGGCCTGCACCGGCGTGCGCGCGCACCTACGCCGCCCGGTCCGAAACGGTGCAGGGCTTACGCTCGAACAGCGGAACAACAATAACACCGGACCAGGGGCCCCCCCCCCGGGAGGGGTTCACGCCCGACCGCCTCCGTCCTGGGGACCGCGCCCCCCCCCCCCCTCCCCCGAGAAGGTCCTTCCCTCCCCCCCCGAGCGGGCAAGACGAGGAAGAAAGGCCGCCTTGTTCGACTCGCCCACGCTGTGGATCCCTGCCGAAGGTGAGAAGGGCTTCCCGATGTAGTGCCACTCGAGAGAATGGGTCCTGGAAAGGTTGACGGCCAGACGGGGCCGGTGCCCACACGAGTGCGAGCGAACGACACAGAAAGCGCCCCTCGTCCGGCCCATGACACACAAACATCCCCAGCCCGGAGGAACATAAATGGAGGCCGGGCCACCCGACGGCCGTTTACATGCCGATGACTGTGCTCTCCATTGTCACAGCCCCGCGTCCCCCCCCCCCCCCCCCGGCCCTCCCTGCTTCGGGGCTCTGTGCCCGGGGCGGTTCCGGGCCGGCGGATGCACCGAGCACCGGGGGGTTGAACGCCAGTCATTTGACCCCGGCCGGTCGGAGGTGCCCCCCACCCTGGGGCGGAGGACCGGCATCCTGCCAGCGGCAAACATCGTATACCAGCGCCCTGCACGGGGGCGCCTTTGTCAGCGGGGGTGTGCCCGCTGGGAAAACGCCAAGCACGCCGGTGACCCCGACTTTGGGGGGATATTTTCCTTCCGCCCATCCCACCCCCAGCTCGGGGCCGGACCGGGGGAAAAGAAGCACCAGTTGACCTGCCACCGCTTCTGGGCCACTGCGGAGGGGCATACGCGCAGGCACGCATGCCCGCCGCCCGGCGACGCCCAGGACCGAGAACTCCTCCAGGGCGAGGCCTCGGCACCGCCGAGACACGCGCACGCACAGGGGAGGGGGGGGGAGGGGGGCGTTGACCTGGCGAGGTGAGCAACCCCCCCCCCCCCCGCGTTCGGGCCACGAGCGCCGGCGGAGAAGGCTGCACAGACACACGGCCACAAACCCCGCCCGAGAGGCGGGGCACCGCGCAGGGAGATGATACCCGGGGTAGCCGCGCCCCCACACAGGAGAACGCCCCTTCCCATTGGCAACGCCCCGGCGCGCGGGGGGAGACCGGCGTAGGGCGGGGGGGGCAGCATGCCACGCGGCCCGCGGTGGACGCCGGGGGAGGTCAATGCGAGCACCGGCACACTGTCCCGAGGCCCGGCGAAGGCCACCCGGGGGCCGGCTCGGCCGGGCCGGGCCGGGCCGGGCCGGGCGGGGCAGAGTGAAGAGCAGCAGGGCCACGCGCGGCTGCGCCGACCGACCGCGCAATCGGGCCCTTCTCCAGCCAGCCTGGCCAATGCACCTCGGCCCCGAAAGAAATGCCGAAAGCCAAAAGCGACGCCCGGGCCGCCCCGCAGGTTCCTCCCGACGCCCTGGCCCAGGCCGCGCGCTTCGCACCAAAAGGCGGCCCAGGCTCGACCGAGCCCCATCCATCCCCCGTGGCAGGCCCCCCCCCCGCCCCCCGCCCCCACTCCGCATGGCGCCCAGGCGCGATTTTCCCTCCGCTCCCAGGCCGCAATTCTCCTCCAAAAAGCGTACCCCGACCAAGCAGGAGTGGATTCAGACATCAGCCCCCGCGCCCGCTCCACCTAGTGGCACGAGGACGCGCGCGGCACCCGCACACACACACACACACACACTCACAAACACGCACATGCCCAAGTGTGCCCCCGACCGACGCCAAACAAACGGAGAAGCATCGGCGGAGCCCCGCCCTCCCCCCCGGCCCCTCACCAGGCCCAGAGCCGGCGGCCTCAAAGGGGGGCGGGGCTCGGGGGACCGCCATCACTCCCGGCTTCGATCGGATCCCCTTCTCTCCCCCCTGTGCGTCGGGCTGGCCGTCACTCCAAACCGCAGGGCGCGTCGTGCTTCGATGGTGGCACGCACGACCGCCGGCGCGCCCGCGGAGCCGGGGCCTCGGCCGAGCACCTGACCCTGGTGGACCGGCCGCCCCCCCCCCCCCCTCACCGGCCCGGAACACCAAGACGCTTCTTTTGACCCTTGCCACGCCCGAGCCCGGAACAGTGTGCCCAGGCCCGGGGATCCGGCCCCTCGAGTCGGCCCCACCCCCGCGACGCTGGGGGCGAAGGCCGGCATTCGTTGGACGGGAAACACCCAACGGGGCCCCCGCCCGCCCGCCCGCCCGGGAGAACGCCTCCCTGGTCTCCGGAGCCCCGGCCTCTTCCTGGGGCGTGGCAGTGCAGCCCTTCAGCGCACCCTCCCCCACCACCCCCTTGGGAGGCGGTGCTCTGAAACCGCCTGTTCGTGGAGAAGGGCCGACCGGAGTGCCGGCGTGCGCCCCCCCCCCCCCCCCCTGCCCCCCACGGGCGGGGCGTTCTTCGCCGCTCGTATCAGGCAACCGCCAGCCCTTTGTCCGGCGGGGAGGGAACACACAGA